AAAACAACAAATCACTTCATACAATTCAAAAATCAGATTGAAACTCAATTCAACACTAAAATCAAAATTCTCTGCTTCAACGGAGGGAAAGAATACCGCAATAAGAACCTTAATGCCTATCTAGTCGACAATGGTATAATCCATCAATTTTCATGCCCCTACATTTCCCAAAAAATGGCATTGTCAAGAGAAATCATCAACAAATTCTTGAAACGACGTTATATCTATTAACCGCCTCCCATTTTTCACAAAAATTCTGGCTTGATACCCTTCTGAAAGTTGTTCATCTCATCAATAAGATGCCCTCTCCAGACACTCAAACCCTCTCCCTACCATCTTCTCTACAAACAACCCACAATTTTTACATACTTGAAAGCTTTCAGATGTGATTGCTTTCCTAGGTTTCCACCACAATATAGGACCATTAAAAATTTGGCTTACGCACTTTTCTCGGTCATCCTAGTAACTTTAAACATTACAAATGCTTTCATCTCTCAAGTGGAAAAATAATTATATTCAAACACATCACCTTCAACAAACTCCACTATCCCTTTAAAACAATCACACCCATTATTGATCCTCGCTCTCCTCCTCATACCTACACTCCTCACACTCTCTTTCCAATGTCCTTAGTGTCCAGTTCCAACAATTCTATCACCCAACTTTAAAACAATACAACACCACCATCCAACTCATCCCAATCCATATCCACATCCTTAACACTGAATACCACACTTATGTTGCCAACCAATTCCCCTATGTCCTACCCGTCTATTAGCCATCACTCATCACCTGCTACTACATCTCTACCACCTTCAGCAGTACTGCCCACACACCCCATGCTAACCAAATTTAAGATCGGACACCTGAAGCCCAAACTCATTTTCAATCTATCTCATGTTCAATAATATAAAGAACCAAAAAATCTTAAATCAGCCATCCAACACAGTCATTGGTGGGGAGGCTGCGCAAATAGATTGACACACTTCACAAATAACACACGTGGATTCCTTAACATTGAATACCACACTTATGCTGCCAACCAATTCCCCTATGTCTTACCCGTCTATTAGCCATCACTCATCACCTGTACTACATCTCTACCACCTTCAGCAATACTACCCACACACCCCATGTTAACTAAATTTAAGATCGGACACTTGAAGCCCAAATCTATTTTCAATCTATGTCATGTTCAATGACCAAAGAAAAATATGTTGAGATTTTCATACCTCTTTTATGTTGTTTTTATTGATATTGCACTTTAAAGAAATGTATTTTTGATGTTTTGTTGCAGGAATGATGAATGAGGGTCAATGGAGCAAAAAGATACAAAAA